AGTGGTCGGAAGAATAGAAAGGCGCTATACAAGTACAGGTCCATTTACCATTTACCATTTACTTCAGCTTTAAAGGTGCGATCGAATAGCACGCTCCTTCCCTGTGGCTCTACTTATCCACAGTGCTATACAATGCAATACAAGTTTTTACAAAATAACTAAAATTAAATAATTTGAACAATAAAACACAAGGTGGACACAAGGACTAAAATCATATCAATAAATTAAGTTGTATTTACATATTGCCATAACTACAATAACAAAACAAATATTTAGACTCTAAACTAGATTTTTGTCTACAGCTTTACTATTCCTGGCCACTCCAGAGCTGTCAATCATCCACTGCGACCTGAAACCAGAGAACATCCTGCTGTGTAACCCCAAGAGATCTGCAATCAAGATAGTTGACTTTGGATCCTCCTGCCAGCTCGGACAGAGGGTGAGCAGAATCCACACACGTTTAAAGAAAGTTACACAAACCTTCCAGCAATGCTGCCACAGTACATTCATCAGTTTTCTTCATATAAAATAATTCATTATAATTGCCTCTCATCTGTGGTGCTTGATGGGAGATGCTCGACCCTCTGTGACTAGGGTTTAGAAAATAGATGAATGAAGGATGAATAAATGTGTCATACACATGTGTAAGTGGTATTGTACTTACCCACTCTTTACCAAGACTCTTTTGTATAATTAAAATGTATAATTTTGCATTAAATGCAATTCAGTATTCTGCATTTATGTCAGTGTTTTAGTTGCCTTACATTGTCAGCAATGTCAGAAAAAGTCAGTGTAAGTTAGTTAAGCTTCTGTATGAAGGTTGAATGTCCTGAATGGCAGTAACAGACTGTGGTTGACTGGTTACACTGCTGCTCTAGAAGAACTTGGCTCCTCACAGTGGACAGCTAGTGAAACAGCAGTCAACATACACTTACCTCAGCTTATAAATGAAGCTAGCTTTAGAGTTGTTGAAGATGCAACATTTGAATAGGTTGGACACCACTAGATATAAAGTTAAGCTTCAAGTATTTTAATTGTTCTCTGATCTCTAAACTGCTCTCCACTTCCTTCTGGTCCTCCTCTCAGATCTATCAGTACATCCAGAGCAGGTTTTACCGCTCTCCTGAGGTTCTGTTGGGAATGCCATATGACCTGGCCATTGACATGTGGTCTCTGGGATGCATCCTGGTAGAGATGCACACAGGAGAGCCTCTCTTCAGTGGCTCCAATGAGGTAAATCCTAGTCCAGTATGCAACTTCTACAGTGTGATGTAGAAACTTGAAGCCACCACTGCACATACACTGAGAATGTACTTGGAATGGAAAGTGAAGTAGGAGACATCTCTACCTCTATGAGGTAGAAGGAGTAGTAGGATTTTAATCTGGAAACATATCAGACACATAATTGTTCCCAGCGGACTATTTGTATATATGTCTCAATACATGTCTGGAGGGAATCTTAATAATTCATCTAGTTAAATGTACCATAATACATAATACAAAAAACTATTTATTTTCATTGTTGAGACCACTTCCCCAAAAGACACAGGATAGAGCAGGGACTGTGTTAATTGGCATGTATGTACACGATACAAAAAATAATTATAAGTGCGTGTGTGTGTGTGTGTGTGTGTGTGTATGTGTGTGTGTAGGTTGACCAGATGAATAAGATTGTGGAGGTTCTGGGGGTCCCACCCAGCCACATGCTGGATGCAGCTCCTAAAGCTAGGAAGTACTTCGACAAGCTGTCAGATGGTCTGTGGACAGTGAAGAAGAACAAGGACATCAAAAAGGTATTTGATTACAGATCCATTGACATTTTTCATTCAAAAGTAAACTTTTACCTTTAGACCTGTGTCGTCTAACACCTGCTGGTGACATGATGCACAAGAATCAAATATGGTACTTTCAGCTATTGTGAACAATATACTCAACAGCTACAGTAGTAAAGGAAACTACAGCTACAGCTTTTACTTGTGTTTTAAACAATATGCATATGAATGACTTAAGTCCCTGGCTCAGCCTTATATTATTTTGTGTACATTTATGACTGTATGCTGAAGGACTTGTGGTTGCGGTGATTCAGAAGGTTTTATACAGACTACTGACTCCTCTTAACCGACCGGTAGGGGGCTCAAGTGATCAACTGCTGGGCAAAAAAGGCAGACCTAGTCTCTTGCATGCCATATTTTGGCCTTTGTCCTCATAAACCTGATGTCCATAAAAACATTTGGTTTCATTTTGAACCAAAGCACCTGCAGATTCATTCCATACCCAATATGTTGCGATCCACTAAAGTAAGATACGATATAAGATGAACAAATCCTCACCATATTGACTGTAAGGAAGTGGGAACAAAAGATACCTCATGGGCCACTGTCTTATGTTACTGCTATTTGTCTGCACGGTCGCCATATTGGAGAGGTCAAGATCTGCCAGTTAAAGAAGATTTGTAAATTGAGTGAGGCAGACTTCACTACAAAATCAGCTGTTGAAAATGAACATGATATTGGTTACTTCTTGGAATTAAATGTACTAACTGGGGGCCAGTCTAATCAGCTCTGTGCCAACAAATTAACCTTCTGGGACAGGCAGGCTCCAGTCTATGAAAATGCAACAAATGCAAGTTTAAATTATTTATTTTTAAAAATTTAGATTTCTGTATGTATTATATTGTTATAAAGCCACCTGGTTGCATGCAGTGTTGTATATAAATGTAAACAAATAAACAAAATGTTCGAATAAATAACAATGTTTAAATTGACAGGTTTGGAGTTGACAGGTTTGGACCAAGAGTGCTCGGTTACAATACTATAACATTATTCTGTGCATCTTAAAGAGACTATACCATACAAAAACACTTTATATAAAACTTAATACATACAAAGACCTACATTAAAAAAAACTTAAATTGCACTATTCGAAAACACTTCTCTGCATCTAGCAGTTAGTACCGGCATTGCAGTAGGTGATTGACCATTTGTTGCTTGGTAGAGATCTGCACTCTAGTGTCCAATAGTTTAAAATCTTAGAAACAATTGGAACTTAGAAACTAGCAATATTGCTTGTGCAAATAAGAGCAGTAAAATCTCTTGTTACCTTATTGGAGCAATCCAGAATGAATATTTTTCTGTATCTTAATATTTTGTGTTTTCCAGGAGTATAAGCCCCCAGCCACACGGCGTCTTCATGAGATTTTGGGTGTAGAGACTGGCGGCCCAGGGGGGCGGAGGTCAGGAGAGCCAGGACACGCCCCCTGTGACTACCTGAAGTTTAAAGGTAAACCAACAACTTTACATTGAACTGCAGGACACTGTACTGGATCACCAAAACCATGACTGATTTATATTTATATTTCTGAGATGTATTGACATCGATATAAACACAGTTAATATGGCAGTGATAGATTCTATGACAATGAAATCCCCTTTATATCTGGTATTTACTTATTGAGAAAAGCAGTGGTTCTCAACCGGGGGCCCAGGGGTCCTTGAGCGGATTCAACGGAGTCCTCAAAAAATTAGGGGAATATTTGAATTTCACTATTATTTAATTGATTAGAAGTTGAGAGAATATATAAGAATGACTATTGTGTTCATAGGTTTCATGCTCTTCACTGTTAATCTGACAATCTACAGTACAAACTGTTAATAACTAGATCTTATTGGACAGGGACCCCTGAGACTACACCTCATCAAACGGGTCCTCAGCCTGATGTGTATCAATTTGGGGGTCCTTGACGCCAACATTTTGAGAACCACTGCTCCGGGGAATCCATCAGCATCCATGTGCACCATTTCAGCGCAAAAAAGATGTGAAAAATGCTATCCAACCTTTCTTTTCAGGTGTTCACTCTTCACTCCTAAAATACTCTAAATTCACTAATAAAGGTTAGGGTGTACTATAACGTCTCACATCAGTGTGAGCTGAATAGTTTTGTAGAAGCCTCATTTAGGCTAACTGTCTACAAAGTATAGCCATTAGCTCTTTTTACTGATGTGGCAGCAGGAGTAGCTAAACAGAATGCTTAATAATATGTTCACATAGAAGCATGCATCCCCTTAAGAAATTGAACATTTCAAAGTTTGAATGACCTTCTTAGGTCAAGGTATGTAGTGAAGATTACCAGCAATGACTGACCTCTTAACCCAGTAAAGAACCAAAACAGAAGTCAATTTGGTCAAAATGCTTTATTACCATGCACCTCACCAAGCAATGTTCATCCAACATATGGTAACATGGAGGTGGTAAATAGTGCCATATGCTGGAGGTGGCTGCCTATGCCCTGTGGCTACTGCAAAATATTATCATTATCATCATGGCCACGTTTGTCCTCTTCCAGACCTGATCCTGCGCATGCTGGACTACGACCCTAAAAGCCGTATCACGCCATTCTATGCCCTGCAGCACAATTTCTTCAAGAAGACGACAGATGAAGGAACCAACACCAGTTCATCTACATCCACCTCTCCTGCCATGGACCACTCCCATTCAACCTCCACTACTAGCTCTGTTTCTAGCTCTGGTAAAATACTTGTCCACTCCACAAACACTTTAACCAGGACTCAACAAAAAAAAAAAGTAAATCTAACAACTCACTTGCCCAATTGAATTTAACACATCGGCTTGCACTTCCTGTCTGTTGACCATGTGTACATGAAGCTTATTCAATGGAGCCACTATTGTGAATAATCCTTAAAACTGTTGACCTGCTGCTGCAGTGGGCCGCAGACTGTACCCTGCTTTATGTTGTGTTTCTGGTGGACCCTGTGATGATACGCAAATGACACATGTTGAAACGAATGACCAAACAGATTGACAGATTTTTGTTGTCAGCAAATGCGAAACACCTTGTATTTTCTCTGGTGGGTCCACATACTGTAACTCTGCAGGATGACACTTGACCCTAACTGTCCAATGAATGAGTTACCTGTCAGTTCACATGTGTTCATTATTATACTTCTTGGTCTGTTTGTAATAAGTGATGGTGAGTAGACAATGTGACAGAACTAATCAATGATTTTTTTATTCTTTGGTCCGAACAAAGTGAACCAAACTTCAGGTGTGACAATCCCTAAGAAAAACTTTTATTCATTCCTGTTCCAACAGACTACCAGCCATTTTAATATTGACAGATCTAATAATCTGAATTTTAGGCTTTAAATTGATTAAACAGATTGGATTAATGAAGTTACCTGTATAAAGTTGAGTTTCTTTTAAATGTGTTTCTGAGAAACATTTGATTATGCTAACAACTATAAAACAAAGCAACATGGAACCAATACTGATTTTCCTTAACTTTTTTGCCAGTATGGATGTGAAACAGGTTTTAAAATGCATTCATTTAAAAGGCAAAATTAATGAACTGTGTTTCCACTTTCTACAGTAGTATGAGTTTAATTTTGGTCTGTTTTACTTCCAGGTGGCTCCAGTGGTTCTTCCAATGACAACCGCAACTACCGCTACAGTAACCGCTACTACAACTCTGCTGTTACACATTCAGACTATGAGATGACCAGCCCTCAGGTATACACAGCACTGTATCATTGCCAAGCTTTACATACATACTGCTGTGGCAGCTTTGAGTCCTATCCTGTGTAGAGATATTCCCATGATAAAAAAAATGTTTTCTTCCTGATACCAATTCCAATACCTGAACTTTGTGTAAAAAAAAAAAAAATATATATATATTATTTTTTAACAAGCATATACTACTATGCCTTTATGATTGCCATCATTGCTGTATAACGGGTCATGATTTTACTATCCTGAGAGAGAAAAACACTACACTGCTGGGAACGTGGTGTTGGAGTCGTACACAGACACGAGAACTTGCGGATACCCGATAACCCCAATATTGAAGGAATTTTTGATTGGTATCAGAACAACTCTATGTGTTCTCCTGTGACTGTTTATTTCTAGGATACGGTATTCATGTGGAACAAAGAGAAATTAGCTTTGAAGTGCAAGACAATAGAAAAGCAAAGCAAAGTAACCTGGAGCTTCCCAAAACCTGATCTTTATGGACCTTTTGAGACTTAAGTAAAAATACACATCAAATACATTTTTACCAAAGATGATTTCTGGCATTTTAGGTAGTTCTTATCACACTGATGTACTGTATGTTTAAGTGTTTGAACTCTTTCTGATAAGTTTGGTTTTAATTAGTTATTTCAAACTATAAAAAGGTGGTTACACATCATGATTGACAGCTCAGTCCTGCTTGCATTGAGTTGTCTGGGTGTGTGGGCAGGACTCCGATACCGCGGTGCCATGGAGAAAGATAGCAGGGGCTATATCTGGGATGTTTTGACTTCATTTTTGTAAAGTGGGAGCAAGTGGAGATGTGATCTCCATCTTTGTCGATGGCCTGAACACATCTACCTGCCAATACTCATAGTCACAGTGCCAACTACTGCCAACTACTGCCAACAGGAAGTAAACCTTATATGGCAATCATCATCTTATTTACATCACATCACACCACGCTGTGGTCTACACTGATATGCTGGCACACAACACCACTTTAGCGCACCCTTATGCACGTGGACTGTGAGGACCCATACATGTTTTACATTTTTTTAAA